GCTCCATCGTTCCACCGGCCGGGCAGTAGGGGGCACTGCAGGCCTTGTCCGGGAGCTCTGGGGGCCTGGGAGGCAGCACCAGCAGCTGGGGCCCTGGAAAGCCACTGCAGCTGCAGCAGTGCTGTGGGCCCTGTCCCTGGGAGCCGGCCGGCTCAGTGCCCTGGCTGCCCTGGCTACGGGGCCCGCTGGTAAACACTGGCACTCCTCCCCTGAGAGGGGGGGGCTGGGGGCAAGGCCATGTGACTCATCACCTGCAGGGGGAGACTGCCACGCGCAGCTGCCTCTATGGGGCTCTTTTTATTTCCTTCCTTAAGAGAGACAGAGAGAGAGACCACCCCCCCATACCACGAACAGGGACTTCACTCACAATCCACTCCTGCCTCCGCCGGCCCAGGTGACGGGCACGCACACTCAGGGAGGTCCTGAGATGTGAACCTGGGCCTTTCCCCGGGGTCCAGCAGCATCACTGCTGCACCACCCGGCCCTGCCTCCTCCTCGACATGAGAAACAAACCCCGTCAAAACCTCACCGGCTCTCGGCACACTCTGAGCCCGTAGATGGGGAGGTGCCTTCTACCCCAGTCCTGGTTTGGTGGCAAGAGCCCACCGGCTTTGAAAGGCAGGCCTGTCGGCAGCACTGTCAGTCCACAATGCCACTGTGGCGGCTCAGGCCCCGCAGGACACAGCTGAGGGACGGTGAAGGAAGGACAGAGCAGCACAGACAGGCGTCCCGTCATAGCTTACTGACCGCAGAGGACGGTCCTCGCAGTCCCACGTTCCCGTAGGCCAGTAACTGGCCCGAGGGCCTCCGAGTACAGGTGTCCACCGGGACTGAACCCAGGCCCACGTTGTCCAGCCACGCCCAGCTGCCGAGGTCCAAGCCAGGAATGAACCAGCTCATACCTCACTCTTCCCTCTTTGAAAACAGTCACTCCCGAGTAGCAAAACCCTGGAACTGAACATCATTTCTGTAACTACTTATTTTATATAACGTACTCCTAACTTGCTGTCGGTATTCTCCCCCCGATTGTATTTTTATCACATCTCTGCAAGGCTCTCGCCCATCTCGCTAAGGCGTTATGCAATGAAGGTTCTGCTGGTCCACAGGGAAGATGCGCTTTTCCTCCTGCAGACAGAGCGGGGCACGGGAGCGGCGCACACGCTGCTTGTCCCCGGCCACAGCCAGATGCAGCAGTTGCTGTTTTCCTAATTGTTTGGGGACTTTATTTAAGTTGCTTGAAGGCTATTGTTGCAGCTAACCAAAAATAACACTCCTAATTATACACAAGCACAGCGAGAGCCTCCCAGCTGGGTGCTGGTAAGGGGGCCCCAAGGTGGAGCCGAAGAGGGTCAGTCTTCACCCTGTCACTGACTCACAGGGACTCCTCACAAGTCCTGCGCCTTCCAGGCCGGTCCCGGTCGGTAAAGCCAACAAGCTGACTTTGGGGACTTCTGAGGGGCCGTCACCTGCTGGCGCGCCTGTCACATTATGAAACATCATGTCTTAGAGTGATAAATTGTCTCTTCCAGTGCCATCAGACGAGATCAGTCGATCAAAACCGAAAGCTCGCTCGGAAAATCCTGCAGGAGAAAGTGGATGTTTTCTACAATGGCGAAAACAGTGCCGTTTACAAAGAAAAACGAGAGGCAGAGAAGAAAAAGCAGGAAAGGAAGAAAAGAGCAAAGGAGACCCTAGAAAAAAAGAAACTCCTGAAAGAGTTGTGGGAGTCCAGTAAACACGTCCACTGAGGCGGCGGTCGGCCTCCGCCGAAGAGGCTGCCAGGGCTTCCAGGGGTCCGGGCGAGTGTCAGGAGACGGGAGCTGCCGGTGAAATACTTCCGACACATTAAATAACA